TTCAATCCCCTGTAGGGGGCATGCTGGAGGCAGCCAATCTATGTTTGCTCTCACATCTATGTTTCTCTTTCTCTCTCTCTTTCCCTTCTCTCTCTAGAAAATGAATTTAAAAAACACCACACAATGCATCGCAAGGCAATGTGCAAAGGCTTGGGGAAAATAGCTAGAAAGGTAAAGAGTGCTTACAAACTGACAAGATATCAAACAGCCCCCTTAACCCCTAGAAGGATAAGCCTAGGAGGGGAAGGGAGGGCAGAGAGGCTGCCACCCACTACCACTTCCTAGGAGTTCCATTTCCCACGAGGTTGGAGATCTTGATCTATAAAATAAATAGGATCTATCGAATTGTATACAAATTTTAAACTTGTATAGCAGCAAACAAACAAACAAAACCAAAAGTGTAATGCAAGAGAAAAGAGACAATTCTTGTAAAACACAATGAGTGCTTACCAATCGGCACATTTCACTGAAATTAGCTTATCCGCCTTTTGTGTAGAAAAGGGAATGTTTGCCAGGAAGGATGATCCCATCATACTGCTGGAACCAGCGCATGGCCTCCTCTTCGCTGACTCCTATTTGGCCCCCGTGTAGCCTGTCCTTGTTTCTTGCCTGCGATGCTGAAACCTGGCCTACCCAGCACCTTATAAGCCAAAGGAAAAAGTAGGGAGCAAGACAGGAAGGGCAGGGAGCCTGGGATCTCAGGATGGGACAGGGCCCCGGGCCTGGGAGCCTGGCCCAGGCCCTTAGAGGCTCTTTGACTTTCCTGGTCTCCTGCCAGAGAAGAACAGGTCAAGGGTGGGTGAGCTGCTCAGACAGACAATAGTTCAAGTCTGTGGTTCTGTGGGTGAGTGCAAGGCTGGGCCTCAGTTTCCTCATCTGTAAAATGGTAATAATTCTTCCTACGCTATAGGGCTGTTGTGAGGACTTTAAGGGATAATGGGAAGTTCGAGAGTAAAAGGAACAGCCTGGCACCAAATCCCAGCTCCTCCACGAGTTCTGCACCTGCTTCCACCTCGGGCCTCATGGAGACAATGGTGGTACCCACCTCAGAGCGCTGGTGCAAGGAGTAAGTGGACCAATCCACACAACAGCACTTACAGTGGGGCCCACTAAGTGCCATAGGAGCATGTGGCATCATCATTATCATGAAAGCCTGGCGCACAATAAGGTCTCAATAAATGTAAACCAGCACAACACAACACCTACAGCAATTTGCTATTATCCAGTCACTCAGCTAAGACTCCCTCCCTACTGGTCCCCTCAGATGCTGTCTGCCACCTTGGCCAGGGTAATACAGTGATTAAAAGCCAAAGGCTGGACCACAGAAGTGGGTTCAAATTTGACTCTGTCACCTTGCTGAGTGGCATTGCTTGCTGTGTGACCTTGGGCAAGTGAACTCACCTCTCTG